TAAAATATACATAATGACTACATTTAAAAAAGATATACGAGAGACTTAAAATTTCACTTCATAAAAAAGAGAAAATAGTAGCTTAACAAAAATTGACAGTTTCACTCTTCATTGTACTAATGTCCAGAGGGAACCTGGCAAAAGGTGGAAAACACAAGCATTTGGTTTGGATAATTTAGACAAAAAGATCACTGAAATTACCTAGAAGTCTGCTTCAATCCTCTTCTAAATATTGACTGGGGGAAACTCAAACTATATACCCTGGTCAGCCTTTATAGAAAGCAATTTAAAACATGGCATACTCTAAGTATCATTAAAGACTTTATGACTCAGATTCAGAGACCTGTTTATGACAATGTTCAATGTAACTGATTACCATGCAGGGAAAAAGTATGACAAAGCCCTGCTGAAGAGGTCGAAGTTCATTTTTTTAAAAAAATTTAATCCTGGTACAAGTGGGTTTTTTCCCCCCTTCAATGAACTATGTAACTCTGTGCTTCATTTGACTATATGAGATGCCTCTGTGGAGACAAGAACCCTGTTCATGAAGGGGTTTTAAAAATTGTAAATTATGAAAGGCAGAGTGGTATTGTTCTCTTTGAAGAGGTCTCAGCTGAGCATAATAGAGTGGCAAGACAAATTAGGATCATAGGAACACAGATTTAGTACTTCAAGAGGCTTTTTTCATTTAACAGTTGAGGAAAGTGAGGCACAGAGAAGGTTATATGACTTGCCCAAGTTACTCAGATTGCAAGTATCATAGATGGGATTTAAACTCAGTTCCACCTTGATTTCAGGAGCAGAACTCTATCCACTAAATCATACTGCTCCCCCACTTCTCCCCAAAAGAAGGCCCACAGAGTGCCTGAATTCAGAGCTCAGATATATTGATGTTAGCAATGAAAGATCAATGGATAGATTGAAAGGAACATTGAGCTAAAGCCAGAGCCCAAGTTAGTCTGTTCTTAAAGTAAATGATAGAAGGCTGGTAGTGACAATGGAAAAATATTCATTCCCACCCCTTCCTGGCAAGTCTTCTATAATGGAAGAGAACAAGTGTGACAGAAAACATGCATCATGAACTCATCTCTGTCTTTACTTTCTAGCTTACAAAAATAGGCGATGACTTCCCTGAACATCAATCTAAAATAAAAATACTTTTTTTGGTTGCCTATTTAGCATTTTGCTTTGTCTCTTGCCCTTTTGAGTTCCATTTCTGTGGGAGATCAGAAATGCCACTGATGCCACTTAAAGTGAGGTGGTTAGCATCTTCCTGTCCAACACTACCCTGTCTACTGAGAAGTGGAACTGTTTGTTGGTTTGAAATAACACCCTTTGCCAACAATACAAGTTTAATTATATCTAAATTTAATTCAAAAGGGTTGTTTTTAGATTATTTGTACATTCTAATGCTTTGAGGATTAAAACATGTCAACCTATTTATAGCATGTCAATTTTAAACACTTGTGAATGTCTGGCAATAATCAAGTTCTATTCATGAAATGGAAATATTTAAATCTCAGAAACTCAATTTATGTGTTTCATTCTATAGTATGACGCAACTAATATGTATTTCTCAAAGTAACACTCCTAAAGCACAAGTCTAGTTATGTCATTTCCCTTCTCACCAGTGGCTTCTTGGCACTACTAAGTCAATGGTGTACTTGTTTGTTGTTTAGTTTTTTTTTTTAGCCATGGTCAACTCTTCATGACCCAATCTGGAGTTTTCTTGGCAAAGATACTGGAGTGGTTTGCCATTTTCTTCTCCAGCTCAGCTCCAGCTCCAGGGGAAACTCAGGCAAACAGGATTAAGTGACTTGCCCAGGACTGCACAGTTAGTAAATGTCTGAGGCAGGATTTCAACTCAGGTGTTCCTGACTCCAGAACTGGTGCTCTACTCACTGTGTCATCTAGCTGCCCCAATGGTGTGCTGGTAAATGTTTAATAACCAGCTCTCCAAACTGTATGCAAGGCATATTTTAAAGTTTAATCTGCATTATTAATGTTTGCTCCATCATTTTCTTAGGTCTAGACAACCAACAAAGCAATAAATTCATCTGTGATTTGTAGGGTTTGCTGATTTCCTCACACAACTAATTTGAGTTAGCTTATCTAATTGAAACCAAAAAAAGCCCATTCAAAGCCTGCCTCCTACCTCTCTTTTCAACTTCATTATATTAGTCCCTCTTATCTATGGTCCAGGCAGCTGGCCTTCTTCCTCCCTAATTGCTTTGTATTTATGCTGTATATATCTTATACATCTATATAAATATGTCATATCTATGTCTCTTTCTCTTTATAGATATCTATCATATCTATATCTATACTTCTATTTTTCTGCCTTCTATCGTTCTACTTTCTCTATTTTCTCTCTATTCTTTCTCTCTTTCTACTCTGTCTGTCTGTCTGTCTATCTATCTATTTATCTATCTGTCTATCATCTCTCACTTAATAGTATATAAGCTTCTTGAGGGCAGGGACTGTTTCATTTTGTTGGTCCATCTCCATCATCTAATGTAATACCTGACACATAGTAGGTATTTAATAAATACTTGTGGATTGATCAGTTAATACGGATATTGAATTTTGTAGGTACTAGTGTGCACTGGGTATTTATACTTAGCTTGAAAGGCATAGAGACATGGTACGGTAGATAGAATGCTGGACTGTAGAGTCAGGAAACCTTGATTTTAATCCCATCTCTGACATTTGCAGACTCTGGCACCCTGGCCAAATCATCTAACCTCCCAGAGCCTCCATTTTCTCATTTATAGAATGTACCTAAGAATATTTGCCCTACTTGCCCCATAATTTTTTTTTGTGACCAAAGTGCTTTGTAAACCTTGAAAGACTGCAGAAATGTGAATTGTTAACTAATGTTATTAAAAACACCAAACAAAAATAGGATGATTCACAGAAAAAGTTCTCAGTTTTGTTTAACACAAAAATAAACCAATCTCTACTAATGTATTTTTCCATTGTCTCAGTGAGCTATGGCTTCTTGATGGCTAAGCCAACAGGTTATAAGCTCTGTCAGTTTTCTGCTAGGCTGAAAGGGAGTCTTGCAGTATCATCTTAGTGATGGATGGTATCTATCGTCTGGGGACCTGCTTAATTAACAGTATGTAAAGGATGCTCACCAAAAGAGTGGCTATAAGGTAGTTTCATTTTTTTTTTTTAAATTAAAGCAGCTGGAAAAGCCATCTGCTAAAGCAAGAAGAGATTTTGGTTTGCATTGATGGTGGAGGTACTCAAACTAATGAAGTAATTGATCTTTCAAAAGGAGAAAATAAACTGGTTTAAATGTGATGTCTCGATGCATTAGTCAAACTGATTCCAATGGGAATTTTTAACATTTGAATGTTGGTAATGGCAGGCAGGAGACTTGGATTTGTTGGCCCCAGGTGGCATTAAAAAATCTCTTTATCATTCTAGACCCTTTGTGTCTAGATCTGCAAAACAATGTACTGTATGGCACAGTAGATAGTTCAAATCCAGCCTCAGACACCTATTAAGTGTGTGACCTTGGTAATTCACTTAATCTCTGCCTGCCTCCCTTTCCTCACCTGTAAAATGGGGATATAATAGCACCTGACTCCTAGAGATGTTGTGATATGATGTAATATAAGATAACGTAATGTAAAGTAACGTAACATAACGTAATATAATGTAATGTAATGTATTGTAATATAACATAATACTCTTAAATAATATATTATATTAAATCATATAGTTCAATTATATAATATTCCTAAAGCATTGTTGTTATTGTTGTATTATTGTTGTTGTTGTCTGACATGCCTTCTGAAATGCCTTCCAGCTCTTAATTTCTATGATTCTCTGATTTTCCATGCATAAGAATTCTCAATACAGAGGCTAGGGCTAGGGCTAGGGCTAGGGCTGGGGTGAGCCAACCTAGATTCTGATCCTGGGTTTGCCACTTAGCTAAGTTCTGTGCTTCATTTCCTTTGTCTGACAAATGGGTATTAATAATCCTTGCCTCAGCAGCCGTACAAGGCTGTGTAAAGATAATGTGATTGCATCATGAAATCTTTGGCTTTTGCAGTGGAATGGACCTGAGAGGGTCATAGAGGTGAAGATATTTTGAGTGGCTGATAGCATTATACGCTCTTATCATAAAAATGATTTAGGGGACTTGACTCTAAATAGTGTTGCATCTAAGCAATAATCTCCCTTTTCAGATAACATGGAACATTTTTCTCAGACCTTAAGAGCAATTATGAATTGCCCAGAATTTCACTAAAGAATCCAAGCTCTCAAGCTGGAAGGGATTTCAGAGGCCATCTAGTCCAACCCCTTTCTTTGACAGACAAAAAAACCGAGGACCATGAAGGTTAATTAATGGACCAAAAGTCACATGGGTAGTAAGCGTCAGAGGCAGGATTTGGTGCAGTAAGGAATAAGAGACAAAGCAAAGACTGGGCTTAATTTCCCATTTGTACACTTATAGCATTAATTAAGACTAATTTCTTTTTCTCCTGTAGGCTTTAATGTTTGCAAAGCACTTTATATACACATCCTCAGCTCAACAGGGGAGAAGGAAAGGGCAAGTAGAAGGACTGGGCATAGATTCAGCTAATCAGACAGTAGAGAATCCATCTCTGTAAAAGACTGTCCTGGAAAGGAAGAAAGAATGAAAGAAAGAAAGAAAGAAAGAAAGAAAGAAAGAAAGAAAGAAAGAAAGAAAGAAAGAAAGAAAGAAAGGAAGGAAGGAAGGAAGGAAGGAAGGAAGGAAGGAAGGAAGGAAGGAAGGAAGGAAGGAAAGAAAGAAGGAAAGAAAGAAGGGAGAAAGAGAAAAAGAGAGGGAGGAAGAAAGGAAGGGGGAGAAAGAGAAAGAAGAAAGGGAAGGAAGGAGGGAAGAAGGGAGGGAAGGAAAAAAGAAAAGGACAGAAGGAAAAAGGAAAGGAGAAAGGAGGAGGAGGAGGAGGAGAAGGAGGAGAGAGAGAGAGAGAGAGACAGAGAGAGACAGAGAGAGAATTCTTTAGGAAAATCTCATTTGAGTCTCACAACAACCTTGTGAGGTAGGTTATTTTCCCCATTTTACAGATGAGGATTTTGAAGCTGAGAGAGGTTAATTAACTTGCCTGTAGTCACTATGCAAGTAAATGTTGAAGACAGGATTCAAACCTATGTCTGCCTGACTCCAAATCAAGTCCTCTATCCTTTTATCCTGGCCTTAGAACATGAAATAAAACATTGATCTTTCATAAGTGGAAAGACTGATGGTTTGAACAGTCATTAATTATTCTTATCTCTGTTTTGTCCACAGGAGTTTGAATCAAAGAAAACATGCTGACCCGAGCCTCCTTTCAGTCACTGTTACTCCTTTTACTTTATTTGGTAAGATCAGAGTTTTCCTTTCTGTTTTTCACTAGACAATGTGCTGACAACTTAGGTATTTTGCATCCCTTTGCTGCTCCTCCGTTGCCCTTATTTTTCCTCCCCTCTCCCTCAGGGGATTTCCCAAATTTCCTTTCCCTCTTCTCTGGGCCTTCAGCAGGGGGATGTTGTCACAGAGAGCCCTCCTTCTCCGCCCCAGCTTAGTAGGAGGCTGGGGCAGGATAAAGGATGGGGTGTGGGCTCAGCAAATCAGAGTGGAACATCCATCCTTGTTAACAACCTTCCTACAAAACGAATGCAAACCCAAAATCCAGGTCAATAGATGGAGAGGATGTATAGTTTATATTGGTTTCATTCCCAGAATTAGGTAGTTGTGAATCGCATGCTCTTCTGCCTTAATTAAAATGTCCAGAATGAATGTTCTTCAGCTAGGAGATGGAAATGCCTCCCTATCCCACCTTCAACCCCTAAAAACCACCACCACCACCACCTGGGTTAGGTTTAAAAATGAAAAGAAGAAAAAAAAATTCAGCTTTTCAAATTTCTTATGTGATCCAATGAGCTTGATCAAAGAACCATGAGTGATAGTTGGACTTTCCCCATGTCTTTTGCTGAATTCTTTATTTTTTTTAAAAATCATTTTGACTAAGGAATGTTGTCCCTGTATCACTAAGAAATGAAGTTGTTTCTTTTGTTTCTAGTTCCTGCTTTAGGTTTAATTTAGGCCTATTTTTGTCTGTTTTGTTGGGGAGGGAGGAGGAGGAGAATCAGTAACATTCCTTTTCTCTATTAAATTCACTTTCAGTAATTCTCTGGATTTAATTTTGTGAAAGCATGAGGCAGGGTTTTTGTGTCTTTTTTTTTTTTTGGAATGCAAAATGAAGGCAAGAAGAGATTGAAGACATGAAAATCTCAGAATGCTAACAGGTCCCTGGTTTCTTAGTGCCTTTACTCTGGAGGAGACACTGGAGATTGCCGGCTCCTGCTAGCCCACCAGAGTCAATACAATTGTGAAGTTTTTATGGCTAACTTCTCTGAGTTTAAAGTTCCTCATTTGCAAAATGGGAATAATGTACTACCTAGCCTTCAGGGTTGCTTTAAGAAAAATACTTTGTAAACTCTAAAGTATAATACAAAATGGGAGCTATCCTCAAATGAGGAAGTGGAGAATTTTAGTTGGCTGTGCATGTACTCACCCATCTGGAGTCCATAGTATCCAGAGGAGGGCAATTCTCTGCCTTGGATCCAGGAGGTTGCATTTGAATTCTTTTTCCAGGGTTTAGAGTGAGGGTGAATTTCCATCTACTCTACTCTTATTTACACCTTTTGGTGCTACCGTAGGGTAGATGAGAACATGCCCAGACCACCATCTACTGCAATTGGCCTGAGTTCAGGAAGCTAGTAGACTTTCAAAGGCAGCACTACCATCACCTCCTTCATTGCGCCATCCCCATCTCCGTTATATCTCCTGATGATGGCTAATATTGTTATTATTGTTGCATGGTTGTTAATAGTTACTAAAATAGATATTTTTGTAATAATATAAAGCTTACAAAGTACTTTTCACCCATTATTTCATCTTTTAGAAAAGCACTGCATTAAGAGTCTGAGAATCTGGATTCAAACCCTATCTCTATCACTTTCTAATTGTGTGACTTCACCAAGTCATTAAACTTCCTTGGGCCTCAGTTTCTTTACCTGTAAAATAAGGGGGTTGGACTAAATGACATCTGAGATCCTTTCTAGCTCTAGAATTATGACCCTTACAGCAGTCCCATGAGGAAAATGGTTATTTTAACCAGACTTGTGATATCATCAGTGTAGAGAACTGGTTGACAACTTCATCTACCAGTAGAGATGATCTGCACCTTAGAGAGCTCCCTAGGACCCTAACAGGGTAAATGATTTGCCTCGGTTGTGCAGCCAACATGTGTCAGAAGTGAGCCTTAAACCTCCATCCTCCTGATCCAGTTCCATGCACTCCTTCTCCACTGAATCATGCTTTGCTAAGTCAGAACCTGGGGGCCCATGCCAGTGGTCTCACAGCAACAATTCTGCCACTCTTGTGTCTGCACCCTTCAGTTTTCTTATACTGAAGCCATCCCCATTTACAAGGTGAGGACTGAGGTTAATATAAGAGACATTGAATGACTTACCGATGGTCCTTTGGAGGCAGGACTCAAACCCAGGTCTTTACAGACTCCAACTCTAGCCCTCATTCCATCATATCATACTGCTTTGTCTGTGTGGCTGATGTTTGAAGTGGCCCATCATTCTTCTCCAGACTGGCTTTTTTTTTTCCGCTGTTTCTCATACACGACTCTCATTTCCTCTGGCCTTGCCTTTGTTTTGGCTTGTGCACTCTCTCCTAACTCCATCTCTTGAAACCCTTGTCTTTCTTCAAGATTCAAGTTCCTATCCCCCAGATGTATCAGGGCCCCCCCTCTCCAACTTTGTATCTGCTTTGTGTGTGTTTTGAACATACCTATGCATGCACATGTTGTCTCTCTTGTCAGAACGTAGGAGTTTGTTTGCTTTTGTCTTTGTGACCCCAAGACCTAACACAATGCCTGGCATATAACACATGCTTAATCAACGTTTATTGATTGACTGATTGATTCTTTGAGTTTAAGGATTTGCTAATCTGTCAAAATGCAGGGGAAATACTGAAGTCTTACAGCGGAAGGCATTATTAGTCATTTGTACTCTATCAGTTTTCCAGATCCTTTCCCAGGAGCAAGATTAGAAAAGAAATGAGAGAATCTGAGGTCACTGGGCCTTGTAGACAATGAAGGAGGCTGTGGATGTTGAGATAAGCAGGGTAAAGGGTGTGGTATGGGCACTCTTGTGGTACCAAGGGCAAATTTCACTTCCTTCACAGCTTTTCCTCACGTTGTTATACAATTCAGTATGATACAACTCTGAGGAGCTTTCATTGGGTTTTGCCACAGGTTTGCCACAAGGCTGCTGTTGGCATTTGGTCACCATGTTCTAGCTGTCCTCCATTTTCAGGCTCCTTTGGCCCCATACAGATCAACAGAGATATGCATGCATAGATTTGGGGGAGGTTCCCAAGCATTGCTGAAGAAACCCACCCCCAGCATCTTATTACGCATTTATGACAGTCTGCCTGTTCCTCCCAGCCCTGGCCATATTAACTTTAGTGACTCATAGAGTGCATGGGAGTTTTGAAACTTTTATAGCTCTCATAGTAGTTGTAATGCACAGGAAGAGGGGTTAATGGTTATGATATAAAACCTGAACTTTGGGCCCTGAAGTCAAACACCATCCTTCAGTAATTATTTCTTTATAATGAAGCCACCCTCTAGGTTCTGCGAAAGAGCTGCTATTATTGGTGGAACAGTGATAATGGTATAATGGGGCATGGTCATGGGATGACACTGGGTGGAGAATCAAGAGAAACTTAGGCATGAATCCTGGCCCTGATCCTTATTAGCTGTGAAATCCTGAATAAGTAGTTTTACCTCTTTGAATCTTAATTTCAAAATCTGTAAAATGGGGATAATCAATCAATCAACAAACATTTGTTAAGTAATCACTGTGTGCTAGGTACAGGAGATATAAAGAAAAAAAAATTAACAGTCCATGCCATAAGAGAGCTTACATTTTATTAAGGAAAGTACACGCATAATAGTTGATAATAGCTAGCATTTACATCCCCCTTTAAGGATTTATGATGTGCTTTGCTTGTGTTATTCTGAGATAGCTGCTACCTTTATCCCCATTTCAGAGAGAGATTAAGGGACTTGGCCAAGGTCACAAACTTATCTGGGACGGGATTTTAAAGTAGGTTTTTTTGGTCCCACCTCCAGCCCCAACTCCTGGCATCAGCAGTTATGGGAATCACGAAAGGCTCATACCAGAGGTGGTGTTTGAACATTAGTTTTGAAGGAAAATAGAAATTCTGAGAGACCAAGATAAGGAAGAGGTGAAGGTTTAGAGTGCCTACCTAAAAGCAGCTAGGTGGTATAGTGGATAGAATGCTGGCCTTGGAGTTAGAAAGACCTGAGTTCAAATCCAGTCTCAGACTCTTACCACCTGTGTGAGAACCCTGGGCAAGTCACTTAATCTTTGTCTACTTCTATTTTTTCACCTGTAAAATGGGGGTAACAATAGCATCTACTTCCCAGTGATTCCAATTGTAAAGTAGTTAGCAGTGCCTGTTACATGGTAGGTGCTTAATAAATGCTTGCTTCCTTCTTCCCTTACCTTACAAGATTGTGTGGGCACACAAATTAAGCCTTCAAATACTATCTCAACATGAATTATTTTTATCATGATGTTTTCATTTATCTGAAAAATGGAATAAATACTGAGAGAAGCATCAGGATCTGCTTCTTAGAATTCTTACCTCCCTTCAGGGTTCAGTTTGGGTGCCACCTCCTACATGAAGGATTTCCTGATCCCTTCCCCACTCTGCCCCATCCTACTCCCTTAGTGCTTGCTTCTGAAATTTGAATTACTTTAGATGCCCATTCTATTATCTATTTGCGTAAAATCAACAAGGATACATGATGTCACCCTCATTGGAATGTAAGTTCCTGGAGGGGAGAGATGGTTCCATTTTTTTCTTTAGCTCACATTTGTTGTTGTTTAGTCATTTCTGTTGTGTCTGACTCTTTGTGACCCCATTTGGGGTTTTCTTGGCAAAGATGCTGGAGATGTTTGCCATTTCCTTCTCCAGGTCATTTTGTAGATGGACGCACATTTATTTGCCATTAAAAATTTTGCAGAGTTCTTTCTAGACATCTCATTTGAACTTCCCAAACCCCATGAATAGGTGTGTTGATTATCCCCATTTTGCAGATATGGAAACTGAAATTGAGAGAAGTTACACGACTTGCCCAATGTCACAAAGTTAGCATGAGCCTGAAAAAGGATTTGATCTAGGTTCTTCCTGATTCCAAGTCTATTTACTCCATCAGCTGTCACATACAAGGTACTTAATGAATTCTTCCTGAATTGAAGAGATCCAAGGC